ATGTGCAGTCATTAATTAAATGCAATAATTCATAAACATACACTCCCTCCCTCCATTATACCATGTTGCAAAAGTGTAACCATTTATTAGTAGTTCTTAAGGCTGCAAGAAGTCAGGCAGAAATCTCAGAAAATCTTGATATTAAATGTAGACCATATTAACCGCCAATAATCCTAGTGTATGTATACTCTTAATCCAGATTCTGTTCTAAACATCAAATTAGAGGCATCTCAGAGGTAAAGTTTAAAGACAATCTACTTTCAAACGTATACCTTTTTGGAAAATCTATTCACCTGTGGGTAATAAATCCAGTAAATGTTCTCAATATCCCTTCCTCCCTCCTATCACCTATGTTTGGCCTTTCATCTCACAATTAAATGTAAATAAAGTTCAGCCTTGCATACACACAAACCCCACTAAATTGTCAGTTTATAGCTTCAGCAGATGATTTTCCAAAATAGGTAACACCCGTATTATTATTCCAGCATCAAATACTCAATTATTCATGTTAATATTTAAAAGTAAGCTTATTTGAAACACTGAGGGCTCCTTTACCATTATGGTTCCTTTTTTTCTTTGACTTGTGTCTGTGTGGTGAAGGCAATCTTGACCTCTTACACGTTAACCGTTCAGAGCTTTGGTCTGCGCTCTCTCTCCTCTTTGTAGGTTTGACTTCCCTTTTCCTTTATAAGCAGAAATAAATTCAACTAATTTATCATCCAGCTAAGAAATCTATTAGAAATACTGTATAAATGGAAATTTCACAGAATTCCTTAGCAGTTGACTCTGAAAACCAGCAAACCTGTTATTTTTAAAATGAGTGAGTTGAACTGTAGTATGAATGCATTTTTTAAGTTAATGTTAATCTATACTGGGGGTGGCCAAACTGAGGTTCATGAGCTGCATGCAGCTCTCTGGGTTTATTTTACAGCTCAAAGAGGGCCAAAAAAGCCTGTAATATGGTAGGTCCCTATTTGCCTCAGGTGTGGAGTAGAGAAGGCATGGGAAGTGCCTGATTAGACAAGGCAAGAAATTGAGGCCAAGGCTGGTGTGCAAAATCAGGCTGCTTCCTCTGCAGGTTGTGCTGCAGCTGAGAGGACCACAGGACAGCTGTGTTCCAGGAAAGGATCTAACCAGAACTAATTCCCCAACAGAGCTAGACTTAAGAAGTAGTGGTTTAAAGAAAGAAGGCCTGCAGACATACGTTCATATTATAAATGCAATGTGATACAAAGTTTTAATAAATGACATGTTGTTGCATCACTGATCTAAAAATTCAATATGAATGCAGATTCTATTGCCTTTTCATGAAAAACTTTTTTTCCCAAGAAAACATGTTAAAAATAGATAGATTCAGAGGTAGGTCTTTTCCCCATCTCTTCTTGTCCAAATACATTAGGACAAGGTCTTCTACCTGCAGTCTTTATCGTGTTAAACTGGCTTTGTGATGCAAAAGAAAAGTATTGCTGACATTATCAACAAAACACTCTTGGAAAGTTAGAATACCAGCTATTAGGGAAATGTCGTTTAATGCTAAGAAATTGATTTCACACTGAAACCTTTCCTCCCTTCCCAGCCAAGTTAGCTGCACCCTCAGGGCAGATCTTGTTGCCTGTAGGCCAGACAGTGGAAATACTGGACACTACTCAATTTGTCTGCCCTTTTGATCTGACACCAGACTGTAGTACCACTGCTACATCTGTCCCCATGACTCTGTGCCTGTTCAACAGAGTGACCCACAGAACCAGATATGGTCTTGTTCTTGCCAACTTCTTGGCTTATCACTGGATCTGATGACCTTGGCATTTCAACTAAGAAGTCTGACTCAGCCGCTTCTTCCAGTTCTGATTCAGATTCTGAGGTAACAACCTTGGAAGGATGTGTTTAGGAGAAGCAGATCTAGTCATGACAGCCAGACAGACAGATTACAAAAACACAGATAGTTTATATTCCAAGTGGGATGTTACCTGTGATGAAAATTTAATTTGTAAGAGCATTCTGGACACAGCCCTGAAAACAAATGAAAAAACAAACAAACCTTTATTCAAGTAAAAATTTGATAGAAGTTATCTCATAAATGTTCCTTCCAATTATTCTTGCTATATATAAATTGTAAGTGGAACCGGCTGGGGCTGGGGGTCAGACTAGATGGCCCTGGAGACCCTTTCTGACTCGCTCTGTTTCTATGTTTCTTTATGTTTGCTAACCAAAACGGTCAAGTATTTGTGTCAGCTTTTAATAATTTAGAAAAGCAGCAAATGGCACTTGGGCAGCAGTGTAATGTCCCTTTTCCTAGCAGTCATCTCCATTGAATTCCTCAATGGGGACTACTTTTAAGTAGACATGCACTGGATTGTGCTGTTGACCTACCAATGGAAAGCTATTATAAACATATGCCATAATCCATTTACTCAGGCAGTCCCTACTGGAACTACCAAAATGTATTTCAATTGGTCTAGATTTTAAGAGCAGTTTTTAAAAAAACATATAAAAAGCAGCTTTTGAATTAAGCTGAGAGTTGAAGTTGATCTGCACTGCAGGATAGAAGATGACAGACTTTGAGAATGAGAAAGCCTGAATTCACTAGAGGAAATTTTGGAACCTTGCTTTAGAAAAATGTAAGGTGAGGATATATAAATTATTATTATAAATTAATCATAATGAGAATATAGTTACCATGGTGGGTTGCACTACATGACTGTTGAGGCATTTTAAAATGCTATGATCTTTGGAATGAATCCTCAAGGGTAAACTAAACTTGCACTAATACTCTTATTTTTGCATAGCAATTTACAGTGAATTCTAAGAGTCAATTCTACCCACATTTGGCTCAGGCCAATTGCTGGGATACAGATTTCAACAGGTTTCAATCTTATTATTATTATTATTTTTATTATTATTATTATTATTATTACATTTCTATGCCGCCCCTTGCCGAAACCTCGGGGCGGCTTACAACATGATAAAATACATTGAAAGACAATAGTACATAATAAATTACCATTAAATACAAAAATACAAAAAATACATTGATTTACAAATATAAAATTAGAATTATCAGTATAAAATAAAAATATAGGAGGAGAAAGAGAAGGAAGAAGAAGTTGCCCTGGCCAGATCATATGTTTTAACAATTGAAATGATGTTTAAATAAAAAGGTCTTTACCTGGCGCCGAAAAACCAGTAACTACGGAGCCAGGCAGACCTCTTTGGGGAGTGAATTCCATAGGTTGGG